AGAATCTCTTCAATGTAGGGCCTCCCTGGTGGCCCAAGAGGTTAAGCACCACACTATGAAACTATCCGCAGCCTCTGCAGCAAGAGTTTGATCACTTGCCGGCCAGAGAGCAACCCACATGGCAAAGCAGACCTCTACTGTATCACCTGCTGCTCCCCTCAGCAGGGTATTTTGGTTGATCTCCCAGTTCTGTTCCCCATTTTGTCTCTGGTGAATCCTCTCACCCTCCTGCATCTCTGGCCTGTACCCCGGCTCTTACATGTATAAATAAATAAATCTTAAAAAAAAAAATCTCTTCAATGTAATGTATGCTGTAAAACTTTGAGGGACAAAATAAGTATGCATGAAGTTCAAAAAATACTTCCAAATGGCCAACGAGTTACAGATGTACATGTTATATAAATTCACCAATGAAGAGCTGACTGTGTGCACCAGACCAGAGAAACAATTTCCTTCTGAAATGTCACCACTGCTCTCATGCTGAGTGTGTCTGGAGCAGGGTGTTGGCAAGAAGTCTCCATCTTTTGATGATGTGATTAAAGTCTGCTGTGCTATGGGGAATAAGAATAACCCCACGTAATCTCTTTGGAATAAGATTTCGGTGCCTTGGACAAGATTCCCACTCTCTTTGTTGAAGGGAGCATCACTTCTTGTCTTGAATAGAACTGAAAAATAAAAACAGATGCCTTTTCAATTCCTTAAAAAAATCACTGATGTATTAATTTCCAGATTAAATTCAGTACAGAAAGAACTTTTAGCATCACAATGTCTGATTATTTGAATCCTAGCACATCAAGTTCTGTACTCATCGAAAGTGAACTTTAGAATAATGTGGGGTGAAGAACAGAAACTCTAGATGCCTTAATCATCAAAACTGCATGGTATTGGAACAAGAACAGACACACAGACCAATGGAATCAAATAGAAAATCCAGAAATAAACCCACAGATCTATGGTCAACTAATCTTTGACAAAGGAGCAAAGACTATGCATTGGAGCAAAGAAAGTTTGTTCAATAAATGGTGCAGGGAAAACTGGGTCGCTACATGCAAAAGAATGAAGCTTGACTACTAACTAACACCATGCACAAAAACCAACTCAAAATGGATTAAAGAACTAGACATAAGACTTGAAACCATAAAATACATAGAAGGAAATATAGGTGAAACACTTGGTGATATGCACATCAAAGGCACCTTTACAGACACATCACCCAAAGCAGTGATAGTGAAGGCAAAGATAAACAGCTGGGACTACATCAAATTAAAGAGCTTCTGCACAGCAAAAGAGACAATAACCAAAACAAAGAGAAATCCCACCAACTGGGAGAACATTCTTGCACACAACACTAATGATAAAGGACTGATCACAAAAATCTACAAAGAGCTGATGAGACTCAACAAAAACAAAGAAAATAATCCAGTCAAAAAATGGGCAGAAGAGCTAAAACGAAACTTCTCTGAAGAGGAAATGCAAATGGCCAACAGGCATGTGAAAAAATGTTCAACATCACTTGTAATCAGGGAAATGCAAATCAAAACTACCATGAGATACCATCTTACACCAGTGAGAATGGCACATATTAAAAAACTAGCAACAACATATGTTGGCGAGGTTGTGGAGAAAAAGGAACTCTCCTGCACGGCTGGTGGGAGTGCAAACTGGTCCAACCACTATGGAAAGCTGTGTGGAGATTCCTCAACCTGCTTAAGATGGAGCTTCCATATGATCCAGCAATTCCATTCCTAGGTATTTACCCAAAGGACACAGAAACATCAATTCCAAAGAGCACCTGCACCCCTATGTTTATAGCAGCACTGTTTACAATAGCTAAGCTTTGGAAACAACCCAGATGCCCAAGAATAAATGACTGGATCAAGAAGATGTGGTACATATACACCATGAAATATTACTCAGCATTCAAAAAGATGAACTCATGCAATTTGCAGCAACATGGATAGAGCTGGAAGGGATCATGCTCAGCGAAATAAGCCAGAAAGAAAAAGAAAAATACCGGATGGTCTCACTCATAGCAGGAATCTAGAAAACTTAAATAAGGGACCAGGAAAAAGAATAATAACTATAAGAAAGAAAATATCAAAATCAACAAATAACTAAGAACAAGAGACACTCTATGGGGGTTGGGGGGCAGGGAAAGGAGGGCTTGGGGTCAAAACAAGGGGGTTGTAATTGTATGGGGAATATAAAAATAAAATGTAAATTTAAAATAAATAAATAAATAAATAAATAAATAAATAAATAATTTCTGGAAGAAAAAAAAAAGAAAAAAGAAACTCTAGATGCCTTAATCAGATCTCAGTTCTATCACAGACTGTCTGATTTGGGGCAATGTCTGGGTTTTAGATTTGTCACGCATAAAAGTGTCCTTATTTTATGAGGCTGTAGTGAAGAAGAAATGAGATAATGCCTAGAAAGCTCTCTGCACAGGGGTGTGGCAGGAGTTCAACAAACAAAAGCCATTAAAACCTCCTAATTTCCAGTCAAGTATAAGATAGTCTAGATTTTGGTCAATCAACTTAAGTTTTATATAGTTGGTCAAAAACATTTTTCTTAAATGCATTTTGTTGACACCCTTAGCCTTGTTACAGTCAGGAAAGCAGGCCCTCGACACTGAACAGCCACTGGCTCTGGCTCTGACTCCCTTCCGGGGCAGTGACACAACTCTCCTTATCTGCCTTGGTTGGGAGAATGACAGGCAACAGGAACAAGTGATATAGTTCTGCTGATGTCAGGTTTTCTTTCAGTTGTGAACAACTGAGAAGTACAATGCGCAGGGAGTATGTTCCCCCAGCCAGTGATTTCCTAAAGGCCCCTCTCTCTGGCTTTGACTGTTGCTTGCTGTTGTCTGTGAAATTTTTCAGAGATTTTGCAGTTTGAAAACAGTATGAGCTGACCCAGGGAGGGTCCAGGTCTGCCTGCTCTCCTGTCTATGTGTGTCACCTGCCGGTCAAGAAGCAGAGTAATTGTGTCATGGGAACACTAAGGCTGACTTGCTAATGACATCATGTGGGCCTCAGCACCACGTTGCACCTCCCTCCTCCACGCTCTTCCTCCCTAACCCCACGCCCCTTTTTTCTTCCTGTCTGGTTTTTAAAAAATGCTTACTTACTGTGTCTCCCCTGGTGGCACAGTGGTTAAGTGCTGGGCTGAGAAGCTGCCAGCAGCCTCTGCAGTGCCAATTCGATCCCCAGCCGCCAGCGAGGGTCCCACATGGCGCGCAGACCTCTCCCGCCACCTGCTGCTCCCCTCAGCAGTGTATTTCGTCAGTCTGCCTGTTCTGTTCCCTGATCTGGCTCTGGTGAGTTCTCTCACCCTCCTGTGCTTCTGACAGTACCCAGTGCTTGTATAAATAAATAAATCAATCTTTAAAAATAAAAAAGCTTACTTATTAAGTAAAAAAAAATTTTTGCTTTAAAAAATACAAGCAGCTAACATTTACAGAGGGCTTACTTACTATATGTCAGCCACTATGATAATTACTGTACACCTGTGAATCCAATTTATCCTCCCAAGCTGATGAGGAGTCACTATTAATATACCCATTTTACAGGAGTGTAAACAGGCCCAGGCAGCTTCGCCGGGCTAGACAAGAATGGGCTCAGAGTCAGAGTGCTCTGCTTGTGGATACTGTGGCTTTTTTTGTTTTTGCGGTGAGATATTTTTGTTTATTTTCATGCCAGAAGGAGATATGGATTTTTTGGGACTGATTAAAGTTCAGGTGTTGGGGTGGGGGAGGGAGAATAGAGATCAGCAGACTTTCTCTTGGGCAAATTTTGGAGACAAGAATATACAGCAGAAACAAACCAACCAACAGACCTGCAAATTTCCCAACCCCTGCCCCCCAGAAGCAGGCACTTTCCTTCAACAGCCCCTTCCCCAGCCTCTCCCAGAGCCCTGGGTAACTTTGACTTGGGGGGAGGGAAACTGTTGTTAACGGGAAAGGCTGTAATGGGAATAGACTGTGTGAAGGTCAGAACATTGAACCAGCAGTGTCAGGTCATGCTGTGAGGGCCACACGCAGGCAGGCGAATATTCTCTCCGGTGCAGACAGAGACAACACACCGGCAGACCTGTCCTGGCTTCTTTGTGGCCAAGGGAGTTGTGTCTAGCATAGAAAAGGTGTATTTCTGAGTGCTGAGGGGTGGTGGTGGTGGTGGCGGTAACTGTGCAGTCCTGGGTTGGGGGAAGGGGGTGACTGTGCAGTCTTGGGGTAGCCGGCCCTTCACCTGGGAAGGAGGCCTTGTGAGTGAAGATCCAAAAGGAGCAGGGTACAGGGTGGCTGTTGTAACCTAAGAAGGTAACAGAAGCCCCTTTATGAAGAATAGAAGACAAGACAGCCACCCCGCCGTGGTGTGGCTGAGAGAGGGGTCAGCTCCACCTTCAAGATGCAAAACCTAGAAAGCACCCTGAAGGGCAGGCTTGCCAGGTGGGTGCTGCTGGGCCTCGTGAGTCAACAGCAGACTGGCCTGCAAGCTGCCTACAAGCACGTAGGTGAAGGACAACAGTACAGTCAGCGCACACACCCGCCGGGGCAGGGCCCTTATTACGGAGGGTCAACAGTCAGGGTGATGTTGGTGATGCGGGACGCAGAGCGCAGGGTCTTGGGGCGACTCCCCCCTCTCCAAGGGGGTCCGTATGTGAGCAGTGACATCAGACACGCCCCCTCTCCACAGGAGCCCCCCTCCGCAGCCCAGCTCTGTCCCAGGAGGACAGATCTTGGCCCGTGGCCACCTGCCAAGTGAGGCCGGGCCGCGGGGGCGGGCCCGGGGCCGGGAGGAGACGTGAGTGAGGACTCCTAGATATCGCCGCGCCACCACGGCGGGGCCCCTCCTTTAGACTCTGTCCTTGCGCGCGGATCTGGGGGCGCTGCGCCTCGCCGTATAAGAAGCCGGCGGGCCGGGATCCGGGGAGGCGGTGCCAGGCGCGGGTGGCCGAGGCCGGGGTGCGCGGCGCCCCCACCTGTGGCGGGCGGCGGCGACATGGGCCGCTACTCGGGCAAGACGTGCCGCCTGCTCTTCATGCTGGTGCTCACCGTCGCCTTCTTCGTGGCCGAGCTGGTGTCGGGCTACCTGGGCAACTCCATCGCGCTGCTCTCCGACTCGTTCAACATGCTGTCCGACCTGATCTCGCTGTGCGTGGGGCTGGCCGCCGGCTACATCGCCCGGCGCGCCCCGGGGGCCTGGGCGCCACCTACGGCTACGCGCGCGCCGAGGTGGTGGGCGCGCTCAGCAACGCCGTCTTCCTCACCGCGCTCTGCTTCACCATCTTCGTGGAGGCCGTGCTGCGCCTGGCCCGGCCCGAGCGCATCGACGACCCCGAGCTGGTGCTGATCGTCGGCGCCCTGGGGCTGGCGGTCAACGTGGTGGGGCTGCTCATCTTCCAGGACTGCGCCGCCTGCTTCGCCCGCTGCGGCCGGCGCCGCCGCCCGCCGCCGCCCGCCGCCCCCGGCCCGGACTCGGCCCGGACCCTCCCCGCGCCCGGGCAGGACGAGAAGGGGGCGACCGTGTTCGCCAACGTAGCAGGTGCCTTTCGGTTGCATCCTCTGGACCTCTGCGCCCGCCTGCCCTTCCCTGCTGCGCGCGCGCTGGCCCCACGCCCTCCTTTTCTTCCCCGCTGCTTAAAAAAGAAATTAAATCCGTGTCTTCTGCAGTCCCGCTTTACTTCTTTGCTGAGGACGCAACCTATTCCCCACCATTTCTTTTCTTTTCTTTTTAAAAAGATTTATTTATTTATGCATACGATTTCTTTTCCCCCTCTCTGGATCCAACCCCCCACACACACCCGGCCTCACTACCCCCTCCTATTTGCTCTGTATAGGAATATCGATTTCTTGGAACTCAGTTATTGTTATTAAGCAACAGCCAGTGCTCCCCACCCCCTTCGCTAGCTGCTGTCCGCACTTAGGGTCCCCCCCTCTCCCTAGAGCCGTTCTTCTGTCCCCTTGGGGGTTGTGGGTTTTGGAGAGGCGGGGCCAGGCGTCACCTTGTGCTTCTGTTACAACTTGAATGGAAGTCTGAATGCAGTCCAAAGGTGGATCACAAGTCTTATCTCAAGGGCGAAATGCCCTGTTTTAGACTCTGTGTGTGTGTGTGTGTGGGGGGGTGTCTGATAAGCAAGTGGGGTTTTAAAATAACAAAAACTCTTTTTGAGTTCATTGGTTCTTTTTGTTTGTAGAACTTATACACAACACAAGGTTTCTTCTTTGAATGCAGGTGATTCTCTGAACACCCAGAATGAGCCAGAGGAGACCATGAAAAAGGAGAAAAAGTCCGAAGCCCTGAATATCAGAGGTAGGATTGGACTGGGCTTCATGGGGAAATTCTTTTCACATTGGAACATGTGGATAGTGTTCTACTCTACGTTCGTGCTTGTGTTTTAATAAGGTGTGTTAGAAAAGAGGCTGGCACCATGCTGGACTGTGACCCCCAGCTCTTGCCTAATAATTGCATTGATTCTGAGGGAGACATCATTTGCTAATGATTGATCCTTGGCCCACTTAGACCCACCTGATGCTGCCTGCTCCAGATTTGGAGGGGTGGGGGGGAGCAGCGTGCTTTACTCAATTTTGTCCACCCAAGGAGGTCCTAACATGAAATTCAGCCCATTTTAGTGGAATATAATTTTTTTTAAAGATTTATTTATTTATGCATACAAGAACTGGGGTACAGGCCCGAGGTGTAGGGGTGAGAGCATTCACCAAAGACAGAGTAGGGAGCAGAACAGGCAGAGCTAATGAAATACACTGCTGAGGAGAGCAGCAGGAGAGTCAGGAGAGGTCTGCTGTGCCATGTGGGTCACCTCGCTGGCCAGAGATGGAACTTACGCTGCAGTGGCTGCCGATAGCTTCATAGTGCTGTGTCTTAACCCCTTGTGCCACCAGGAAGGTTCATGGAATATAATTTTGATAAAAGTAGAAAAGAGTTTAGATGGGCTGCTGCCCATGGTGGTATTGCTATCTGACCTGATCATCTCCATTATTTCTGCCACGAATCTGCTTCTGTGATGGTCTATTGATTCTGAATCTCTGCTTCTGAGCCTGAAATGGGGTTTCTGGAGAAACATGTGAAGGCCTCTCACTAGCATTTCTGCTACCATGTGCCCAAGTTCATGAGCACTGGACAAAGATCAGCCCAATGTGCCTTTCTCACCAAACAACATTCTGAGTGTCTTCTCCTTTCAGACTTCTTGGGCACAGACTTGGCTACAGTGATTCCAAAAGGGACAAACCCTAGTCTTGACAAAGGTTATGCAGCTCTTTATTTTGAGATGGTTTGAGGAATCCAATAGTGGAGCACAGATGGAAATACTACAAAAAAAGACAGATAATTCACGAGACACCTTCATTTTTGAATCTCACATCTGATTTGCAAAGTGATCAGAAAATAACAAACAAAGATCAGAAAATAGCAATAACACAGGCACTCCAAAAATTTTTAAGTGAATTTACTTTTAGAAAATATAGATGAAGTAGGCTATTTGCTAAACAGTTCGATGATGAATTTTTGGGAAAGAAATTCTTTTTTGTTTTTTTAAAACTTTTTTATTTTCTTACATTGTTGTTTATTTTCATAAAATATTTGATTTCTCCACTCATGTGTAGTCCCCATAAATCTCTTACTACCACATCACCTGTCTCTTTCATGCCCTATTTTGACCCATCTCCCTTCTCCTCCCCTGCTGTATGCCTCAGATCCACAGTTTGCCTGCACTTCTCTCTCTCTCTCTCTCTCTCCCCTTTGTTCAGTTTCCCTATATTCTTCCCATAAGTGAAACCATCTGATATTTTTCTTTTTTAGGGCAAAAAAATTCTATAATGGAAAACCATAATTCCTTTATCTTTCTTCCTTAGGTTCAGTTAACACATACATATATGTGTAGATAGATAGAAGGCTTTGTGATGGACTTAATTCTTCATTCTTCTCTTGCAGAATTGAGAGGAAGCAGATAGGGTGGAAAGAAGCAAGAAAGAAAGCAGAGTAGACCCCAATAGATACTGTGAGTGTGTTTGGGAAGCGTAATGGAAGAGACACCTGTAGGATTTTACTGATCTTCAGTCCAGAGCTATTCAAGCTCCTAGGAAGAAAAATGCCATTGCTGTACGGGGGTCTGGGGTCCACATGCAACTCTAGCTTCTGATGAGGGTTAATAATACAGGGGCTGAAGATTGGATCTGGGCTCAGTCTGTTTGAGCTTGGCTCTTGGCTCTGCCATGTGACTTTGGGATAGTTACTGAGCCTCACTAAGCCTCCAATTCCTCGTCCTTACTGTGAGACTCATGTGAGCAGCCACTTTGTGGAGAGTGGAGGGGTTAAAGCATGAAAGTGGCCAGGCCTGTGGAAGGAGCGTCAGCTAAGCTACCTCTTTGCAGAGCACATGCTTGGTGCCAGGCACATGTCATGAAGGAGTCCCTTAGGATTTGTGGCAGTCTTCTGAGATGGTATTGTTGTCGTTCAGGTAGTGAGTGGAATTGCTAGGCTGGAACCCAGGCTGCTTCAATAAGGGGACATCAGTTCTCTTTGTGGGGGCTAACAAGGGCTTTTTTTTTTGGATTTTGGGTTAAGTATAAGGCTGACCTTATTGCAGCTGCAATGCAGGGGAAGGTCACAGAATGTCAGAGCTGGGAAGGCCTTGGGGAAATGAACTTTCTCTTTGACAAATGAAGGATAGTGTACAGAGAACATGGTGGTTTTCCAAGTCACCCAAGGAAGCAGCAGAGGCAGGGCACATGCTTTACTTCCTGCTACTCTCCCGATCACACACCGTCTCTCTACTGGCTTGGAAACCAGCTGGCTTCTGCAGTGCACACTGTCTACTGGAGGGTTACCTTGCTGATATTTAAACCACTGCTTTAGAAGGCAGGATGGACCTTCCAGATATGCAGGGGTGCAGATATCTGATGGGATTCTTATGAATCAAAGTAATTTCTTGATTTTCATGACTGTTCCTCTTATTCCCATAGAATTTTTAAAAAGCCTTCAAGGAATACGTCCTGTCTTCTACTGCAAAGCACGGTGTAAACACAACCCCTTTAAACATTTTCGTCCATATACTTTGTAATGGTTGATCTTATTTAATAGGATCAAACCAACACCTGAAAAATCTGACCACAGTGTCAGAAAGACAATTAGCCCTTTCACATTTCAGCATCTATCTACATGGATAAATAATTACCCAGACATTGTTTGAAATTTCCTTCAATGAGGTGTTTCTTTAGTTTTCTTGGGTTTTCTCCCAAGAAGAAACATCACTCATTCTTCTATAATCACTTGTTAGTGCCTGGTGCTAACACACTGTGTTTCCTGTGTCAGCAGCTTTTCCAAGTGTTAAGATGTGACTCAAATTTTAACTTATGTCACATTGCCCATTTTAACTTATGTCACATTGCCCATTCATGCCTGTGTTTTTGAGTTTTGTTTTCATCTGAAGACAGCAGATGAGGGCCACATGCTGAGGGGCCCTGGCTGGGCAAAGCCCCCTGGTGAGCGTTAGGGCTGACAGAGCTGTCTAGAAATGGGCCATTTTTGTCTCTCAGATCATCCTCCCAGATTTTTCTTTGGGAATCACAGATGGGTGCAGCAGGACCTCAGAAACCTTTACTGCATTTGGAATAAGGCTAACAGTGCTACAGCCCAGGGCTTGCTGTTGTGGTGCCCACATTCCTTTCTAGACATTTCTGCCCCTCTTTGCACCCCTTCCCTGCCCTTCCCCCCCACCCTACCCCCTCGTCCTTCCATTTAATGTGCACATCTAACGTGAAGCATGTCAGACAGGCAATGTGATTTGGATTCTGCCTCTACCTTGTGCCAGCTGGGGACCTTGGGCAAGTAACCTCTGGGTACATCAGTGGAGGCAGCAAGAGACAACCACTGGGTGGTTGTAAGTTCCATGAGTGATGAGAAGAGCCCAGAGCACCCACTTGATAAAGGGTGTCCATTGTCCTCCACACCTGTGGGCCAGTCACGTGTCATGGCAATTTCCCAGAGAAATCGGATGCACTCACAGAGGTGGAGAGAGAGATTTAATTGTCACACTGGTGGGCTCAGTGGGATAGCTCCCAAAAGTCTGAGCCTGGAAGAACAGAAATGGCAGGGTTTTATGCAGTTTGTATGAGGAAACTTGTCACTCCATCCATTATAGCATAAGCATTTTTTATTGTTTGGGAAGAGGGTCAAGGTAGCCATTGCTGCTACTGTGGGCAAGCAAAACACTGCAGGAACTTTCCTTTCCAGCAAGCAGCAGAGTCCATGCAGCAGACTCCAAGCAGCAGACTTAGCAACTTCCTGCTCCAATGTGCACTTATATCTCTGTTTTAGATGCTCCAGAACTGAGATGGGCAAGGCCGATATTAGTATCACCCCCATTTTGCAGACGGGGATCTAGTGTCTCAGCGTTAGACTTTCTCCAGATTTATGGCTCATCAGATTGTCAGATTCTGTGACTCCCTCTCAGCATACTTGACTCCAGCCTGGCCCCACCGGTTTGTCCTCCAGCCTCAGCCTCCCTGAATTCTGTGCCTGGAGCACCTTCTCTCTGCTGGTTGAAGACTGTCTCCCCTTCAGAGTCCTGTCCCCCAGAAGCCTTCTCTAAACTTCCCTCACAGGGATGCGTCCCCCAGCACCCCAGGTTATGGGTAACTTATCTCAGAATTGCTAGTGGAAGGTGGTTCTGGAGGATGAGGACCTGCCTTCATCATCTTTGCCTGGGAGGCCGGGAAACACATGGCAAGATTCAACCTCAAAAATTGAATGAATTGATGCTTTCAGCAGCTTTTCAATCTAAAAGTATGATAGTTTGGGTGATAAAATCAATTTAGTAGCATGTGATCAGCAATTAGAAAATAAACGAAAATGGACAGAAACTGAATAGATAACAATAATAAATTGTAGGTCAGGATAGGTTTTATTTTAGTCTGTGCATGTGCTAGGGTGCCAACTATGTTTTTATTGTGGATTATGAGAAAAACAAGATTGAAAGCTATTTTATTTTGTTTTTTAAAGATTTATTTGTTTATGCATACTAGAACTGGGGTACAGGCCAGAGGTGTAGGGGGTAAGTGGATTCACCAGAGACAGAGTGGGGAACAGAGAAGACTGACTGAACAGGCAGACTGACTGAAATACACTGCTGAGGGGAGCAGAGGGTGAGACAGGAGAGGTCTGCTGCACCATGTGGGTAGCTCCCTGGCCAGGGATCAAACTTGTGCTGCGGTCTCTGCAGATAGCTTAATAGTGCTGGGACTTAACCCCTTGTGCCACCAGGGAGGCCCCCTTGAAAACTATATTATATAATTGTTAGGAGTGAATAGTGAGCTTTATCAGAAGGAAAACCTGAAATTGGAGCTTAAGGCTTATAAGAGCAGATGCACAATGGCTCTCTAGCAGACAACTCAGACTCAAGACCTGGCCTTGAAAACTTTCTGCTTTGTGATCATGGATAAGTTGTATAGCTTCTCCGTGCCTCAGTTTCCTCATTTGCAAAATGGAGAGAGTAACCACCTCAGGGAATCATTAAGATTTAATGTGTACACAAGTGGTTGAGCGAGCGCTGTGAAGCTGTCCGCAGCCTCTGCAGTGGCAGACCTCGCCTGGCTCTCCCGCTGCTCCCCTCAGCAGTGTATTTCAGTCAGTCTGCCTGTTCTGTTCCCCCCTCTGTCTCTGGTGAATCCTCTCATCCTCCTGCACATCTGGCCTTTACCCCGGTTCTTGTATAAATAAATCTTAAAAAAAAAAGATTTAATGTGTAAATAGTGTAGTGTACTTAAAATAGCTTGGTGTATACACACGAGCAGTTATTATTAAGTGAAAGATAGTTACTGTTTCATTGGCTGCCTGCATCTTACAGTCTTCCAGTGCTCAAGTGGGAACAAAGGAAAAGGAGTGTGTGTTCCCACCTCCTTACTTAGAGTGAACAGAAGCACAGTGTAGAGAATAACAGCCCATCCAGGCAAAGAAAATGACGTCTCAAGTGCATATAGGAAATACTTGATCTTCACCTCTTTTAAAAATTATGGATTTGATTTTTTACAAAGTTTTAATTCAAGTAACATGGGTTTATGCCATTTTATAGGTTTTAGGTGTGCAGTATCATAATTCAAAATCTGTATATTCTACCTTATGCTTTCCTCCAAAAGTCAAGTCTCTGTCCTCCACCATGCGCTCACCCCCTTCCCCTGATGTACCCTCCCTCACTTTGATAATCACCATTTTGTTCTCATAATGTAACAGAGTTTGCTTTTGTTTTGTTTCCTTGGTCTTATTTTGGTTGGTTTTATTTTTTATTGAGGTAATACTGTTTTACACCTTACATGATTTAGAGCTATAAGGTCTGGTCTCTTCAGATGATTGTTACACACCACACCACCACCAAAGCCCATAATTCTCCACACCACACCACCACCAACACACCCATAATTCTCCACCTCCATCCATGGGACCTCCTCCTCCCTGTCTTTCTGTTTCTGTGGTAGCATCTTCTATTAAGGTTAGAGCTTTGATCTTGGGGTCTTCCTCCAAGAGATGTAGACCACCTCTTGGGAATGTTTTGAGTTTCCCTGGAGGCTCAGGACAGGCTGGAATGTGAGAGGTACCTGTGGAGGTAGAGGAGAAGAGGGCACAGAATTAGAAAACGGACCAGTGCATATATTTATTGAATCAGGATCCTATTGCCAGAAGTAAATACTGAGCAAGATGGAAATCTGGGGATTCTTTTTATTCTGTACTTTCTGGGGGAGAAAGTTGCCACAAATTACATCTAGTGTTTATGGAATGTGCTTTTCCCTAGGATGCTACTCAGAATTTGAGAAGGGAAGAACTAGCCCAATTAAAGCATCTTCCAAGGGAGACTAGTAGCCACTAGGGAGTTGTTAGTATTTTTGATAGTTATTAATCTACTGGGTGGGTCTGTGGGATACCTGGAGACACACACCTGACTTTTCTTAATTTGCATGCCTTCTTCTGGAGCAGCGCTTTGGAAACCCTTATGTGTATCTGAATCATCTGGGCTCTTATGAAAATGCAAAATCAGATTCAGAAGCTTCTAGGGTGGGGCCAGAGCATGTTCATTTTTTACAAACTCCCAGATGATGCTGGTCTCAAACCATACTTTGAATAGTAAGATTCTGCTGTTGTTTTTGTAAATTTTTCATTTAAACTTTAGAATCCTTCTAGGAAGTATTTCATCTGATTCACTAAATCTCAGTTTTGCCTGTGTCTAACAAGCCATTGGACACACAGAGCCTCTTGGCAGGGATTGCATGCCTTCCTTATCATAACTGAAACCTTTAGAACCAGTTCCCTTCCTTACATATCTGTGAAATAAAAAGCCACGATCTTTCCTTCTCGCGGCAGGTGTACTATTGCATGTGATGGGAGACGCCCTGGGATCGGTGGTGGTGGTGATCACAGCCATCATCTTCTATGTACTCCCCCTGAGGCGTGAAGACCCCTGTAACTGGCAGTGCTACATCGATCCCAGCCTGACGGTCGTCATGGTCATCATCATCTTGTCATCAGCCTTCCCGCTCATCAAGGAGACCGCTGTCATTCTGTTGCAGATGGTCCCCAAGGGTCTCAACATGGAAGAGCTGAGTAAGTGTGACCTCTGGTCTAGAGCCCAGACCCCCCAGGATACAGAGCGGGGCTTGACTTAGGCACCCTGAAATGTTTTCATCACCAAGCAGTAGAGACAGTTATCAAAGGGTTGGTAGCTTTGAAAGATGACTCACAGTTCTGAGAGCCAAAGGGCATTGGCAGCCCATGATTCTCTGATTCAGTTGCAAATATTCTAGACTGTGCTTGGGCAATACATATTTCTGGCTAATTACCTTCATGTGAAAGATTTATATCAATCAAATGAGGCTACTTCTGCCAAGAACTTGACTTTTAATCTTATTCTGAAAACATGAATCATCTGTATTCCAGATCCTGCTTTCTAATTTTTTTTTTTTTTTTTAATGGGCAGACAAGCTCCAGGTCTCTTAAAACACTGTAAAAAGGACAGTGCTTGAAATTCAGGTCATTCGTGCCCTCATTCGCCAGTGAATCTGTTTCTTTGCTTCTCTCTCAAACAGAGGTCAAACTTGCACTTTTGCTATGAGCATTAAAATTTCTAAATGGGAACTGTCCAGATGTGGACGAGAAGCTGATGGTGCAGCTTTATTTTCGTTGTCTAAATGGAAATTGTGTTTTTATAGCAAACAAGGCTTCATGCATATTGACTATTGTTCTTTCTATCATTGTTCCACCAACGAGCCAGTCACAGGAAACAGCCCAGGTCCATTCACTCTGAGGCTGAAAGTCTGAGGGCCTTATTTCATAACAGATACCTAAACTTGGATTTTAATGAACCTTAATCTGTTGTATGCCCTTAGCTAGCCTCTCCCCATGAAGGCGTGATTTATAAAGTGACTTCTCTGAAGGTCATCGACCTGCCTGCCTTTGTTCAAAAGTACCCATCAGTACCTTTGCCAAGAGCTGTTGCTCCTCTCAGATCTTTCCCCCGTTCCAAGTTTTTGGCTTCTTTGGCCACATAGCTTAGTTTATGTCTCTGAGTGTCAGTCAGGTGTGGTTAGCTGTCTGGCTGCTTTAATGGACAGAGTGAAAATAATCACCCTCCTGGGCCTTCTTGTGGCCTAGGGGTTAAGTCTCAGCGCTATCACCTCTGCTGCCTGAGTTCGATCCCTGGCCAGGAAGCTAATCCACATGGCGCAGCAGACCTCCCCTGTCTTACTCCCTGTTCCCCTCAGCAGTGTATTTCAGTAAATCTGCGTGCTCTGCTCCCCACTTTGCCTCTGGTGGATCTTCTCACCCTCCACACCTCTGGTCTACACCCCAGTTGTTTTCAGAAAAGTAAAGATAAAATTAAAAAAAAAAAATCAGCCTCCATTTCCTTCATACCAGTGCCCGGTAGAGGAGGAGGGAGGCTGGAAGGTGCACCTGGAGCAGATGGGTGGCATTCCTTTGCCTTCCAGGGGCTTGCTTCCCAGTTGAAGAAACAAAATGAACAGACAGAACAATTTGTGGTATTCATTGGCTTATATTCCTTTTAACCAAGTGACATATATTTAAATATATTAAAAATAGATTAATAAAAATATAAAAATTAATACATTAATAATAAATAATAAAATTAATAAAAATATTAAAAAATAGATTGAAAAATAGCAATACTTTAATGCCACTTAATGGCCAAAGTTTAGCTGGCTACAGGGTCTTTGCTCATAATCACTGTTCTACCATCTCTCTAAACACATACTCACCTTAGAAAGTATGGAAAAAAATCAAAGATCCTTAATAAGAAAATAGAAATCTCTCATCATCCTACCACCCAAAAATATTTTTTGTGAATGTATACTGATATTTATATGAAAGAAGGAAAAACATCATGCCATATATATAGTTTAGTTTATTTGAAAGCACCTCCTATATCCTTTCTCATCTTAAAATAGGCAACCTACATATTAATTACTTCATAATAGTTTATTATATAATTGATTTAATGATTTCCTTGTTATTTCCATTTTTTCATTAGTACAGAGAGTCTTGCTCAGGCCATTTTTGTACATAAGTATTTGGTTATTTCCTTTAGGTTAAATACCTAGTGCTGGAAATACTGCTAAGGTTTTTTTTGTTGTTGAACATGGTTTTTTTTAAATTTATTTATTTATTTATACATTTATTTACTTATGGATGCAAGAACTGGGGTACAGGCCAGATGCACGGGATGGTGAGAGGATTCACCAGAGACAGAGTGGGGAACAGAACAGGCAGACTGACGAAATACTCTGCTGAGGGGAGCAGCGGGCAAGACAGGAGAGGTCTGCTGCGCCATGTGGGTTGCTCCCTGGCCAGCCGGGGATTGAACTCATGCTATAGAGGCTGCAGATAGCTTCATAGGTTGCGTCTTAACCCTTTGCGCCACCAGGGAGGCCCTGTTTTTTTTATTTTTGTTGAACATTATATAGGTTTCAGGTGTACAGCATTATAATCAGTGCCTTTTGCCACCAGAAGTCTAGTTTCCACCCTTCACCATATTTTCGATGCAGATTGCCAGATTATCCCCTTCATAAAGCAGCCCACTTATCCTTCCGAGAGCTGTCCACGTGCATGTCTTCCCCTTGGAACCTCAGCCACTCTGAGCTTCTCTGTTGTTTGTTCAGCTTATTTTCTTGCTCTGCCTTTTCTGGGTGAAAAAGCATGTGGCAGAAGAATTCAGAGGGAGAGAAAGGCTAACAGGAAAAGGAGTGTCTGTTTTTCTTTTCTTTTTTTTTAAAAGATTTTTATTTATTTATTTATACAAGCACTAGGGTACAGTCAGAAACGCAGGAGGGTGAAAGAATTCACCAGAGCCAGAGCGGAGAGCAGAACAGGCAGACTGATGAAGTACACTGCTGAGGGGAGCAGTGGGTGGCAGGAGAGGTCTGCGCGCCATGTGGGACCCTCGCCGGTGGCCGGGGATTGAACCGGCACTGCAGAGGCTGCGGGCAGCTTCACAGCCCAGCGCTCAACCGCTGCGCCACCGGGGAAGCCCAAGTGTCTGTTTTTCTTGCTGTCGCCCGCAGTAAATCACTCTGATGAGAGATCTAGAAGGGTCCATGCCGCTCCTGCGGCTCTGGGTTGTGGTCCCAGTGCTCACCCAGGCTGTTTGCTCTTCCGTGTTCTAGTGAGCAAGCTCTCTGCCGTGCCTGGGATTAGCAGTGTGCATGAGGTGCACGTCTGGGAACTTATAAGTGGAAAGATCATCGCCACCCTGCACATCAAGTGCCAGAAGGACCGGGGCTATAAGGAGGCCAGCGCCAAGATTCGAGAAATCTTCCACAAGGCGGGAATCCACAACGTGACCATCCAGTTTGAAGACGTGGACTTGGAGGAACGGCCAGAGCAGAAGGACTTGCAGCTGCTCTGCAGCTCCCCCTGCATCGCCAAGGGCTGCGCCAAGCACATGTGCTGTCCTCCTGGGGCTCTGCCGCTGGCCCATGTCAACGGCTGTGCGGAGCACAATGGCGGGCCCCCCCTGGATGCAGGCCATGGTGACAGCCTTTGCAGGCGGGAAGCCCCAGAAGTGGCGATCGAAGTGTCTTTGGATGGCCATCTGCGTGATCATGGACAGGCTGTTACCATAACTCAGGAGGACCAGCATTATGTCAACAGCACCCATTTTTAATCTGGTAGCACTGAAACAGACTGTATGGACCAGGCACTTTAAGCTGCCCATGTGGCCGGTGGAAGAGCAGTGGCGTGGGGGCACAGACCACACTGGCACTGTGCCCTCTGTGTGCCACCTGAGTGGTCTTTGGGGATGTGAGCTGGACGTGTCTTGATTTGGAGGTGACTGATAACCCCACTATATCACCCTGGGGGTCTCATTCTGCTCTTCAGCTGCTTTGCTTTGAACCTCAGTTTCCAGAAACACTTGTCTATCTATCAGCGACGGGATGCCTGAGACTCAATGACTGGACTTGGGATTCAAAGTTGTTTTGTTTTAAATGCATTAGAACTTCTGACTCTCAGGTGAGCTCACAGCCAAGTACATCGAACAGACTTAACCAGTATCGCTATTTTTTTTCACATTCCACTGGAAGATCATAAAAGAGGAAAATTACAGACTTTTTTCTTTACTTGTTTTGGAATAAATGTAAAATGAATACCTATTAAGGTAGAAAATATTCTCAGCACATCAGTGGAAGAAGAGTTTATTGGACCGGGGGGGGGGGATAGGAGGAGGAAGAAAATGCTTTTGTGGTCACCTCTTTATTTTATGGGGTGGAGAGAAAACTAATGTTTACTTTTTGCTGCAAACTGAGCTACAGCTATATATAGGGTATTTCAAATGTTTAAATATAAAAAATACTTTTTTTCCCCACTTGCAAGCGTGGGACTATTTCTACTTCCTAAGTTTGACATAAGTACTTATTTATGTCCTTTGGAGTCACTGGTTCAAATCTCCTTCAAGACTTCTTTTATATGATCACATTGATCTGGTAGCCTCTGCCAGGAGAAAATGAGTATTCCTGAGATAGAAGAATATGTGAAATCAAGTATTCATTTCTGTCAAAAAATAAGCTAGATGGACTTTTCTTTAATTAGATGTATTTTCAAGTATTTATTATCATTGCCCGCTAGTAACTTGATGAAAAGTATATGTCCAAGGGGAAATGGGAATGAATGTAATGGTCATCTGCCTTCGATGTGTTTTGAGGAGCTGCCCTTTTATCGTATCAAGTTCAAATAAATGTATTTGAATCCGAATAGAATCCATGACCAAACTATGTTAATATTGAAGAAGCATCTGTCATGTCTTTAATTAGTTGTTTAGGCAACAATATTTTAATCAGGACAGGCTCAACATGGCTATGAGAACAGAGTGGTGTCTTACTAAAAAGCTGGAATCTTCTTTATTTTTTTTTTTAATTATACTTTTTTTTTTAAAGATTTGTTTTTATTTTTATTTATTTATACAAGCACTGGGTACAGTCAGAAGCGCGGGAGGGTGAGAGAATTCACCAGAGCCAGAGCGGGGAGCAGAGCAGGCAGAAGGACCGAAGTACACTGCTGAGGGGAGCAGCGGGCGGCAGGAGAGGTCTGCGCGCCATGTGGGACCCTCCTCCAGTGGCCGGGGAGCAGCCGGGGATCGAAATGGCGCTGCAGAGGCTGCAACCCAGCGCTCAACCACTGCGCCACCGGGGAGGCCCTGGAATCTTCTTTACTGGGTGCAAAATTGACTGAAGGAGGCTCTCATTTCAGCCCCAACACCATTGAACCATGTGATAGCCTCAGATTCTAAGGCTGAAATAAGGACCTGTGATCAGTAGGGTAGGGATTTTTTTATTCCTTGAAAATTTATCTGATGAACTAGGTAAATAGAAAAATGCCTAGATATAATTTTATCCCTAGGAGTTTATTAAGGTATATATAGCTAAAAGGGGGCTAGAATATAATAAGACTCTTCACTTGCAATATTAAGAAATAAAGCAGGTGTTCACACAAAAGAGGGGTGTCTCCATAAAACTTGCCAGGGTGAAATGTGGGTCATATCCTCCTGGATAAGTGTTGGTTGAAATCCCTTGATGGAGCCCAAAAAGAAATTTATCTCGCACTTCAAAATTGGAGGTTCTAATTTGATTCTGTATGATTCCGTTTCTTTCGAAAGGGAGAAATTGTAATTTTATAGCTTTTGTGCAGCTGGCTAAAGGAATGCATACTAGTTTATATTTGAGTAATGTTGCTTAATTAAACTCTGAAGTATTTGCCTGGAAAGGATAAGGTACTTAATTCCAATATAATTAAATTTAACCTCCGAAAAGTATCTTGACAGACACTTATGCACATACCAAAATCTGGAGTAGTGTCAACAGAAAATAATACCTTTTTATTTTATTTTAATTTTGTTATTTTTTAATATTAATTTTTAAATTTTTTTAAATTTTTTACATCATGGAAATAATACCTTTTTAAAAGAGTTGGGCTGAGTGCATTTAATTATGTCCAAACAAACTATTTTTGTTTTGGTTTAGGCAGGTGGCTGCTGTTGTCATCTCAGGCACCATGATACCTGCGGTCTGGTTTTTTCACTCTTTAGTTGTCCTACATTTTAATTTCCCCACAAGGAAATGCAATAGTTCCTTTTGCCGTTTGAATTAGCCTTGCTGGAGGCAGTAGTTTGAAACAACCCTGTTTTTCTCTGAGATTAGGAAAAAACCTTCCTTCCATTTAGTGTTCTTGTACAGTTAGGTTAATGCTGTACAGTTAGGTTAATTCCAGAAATTTCTCTGTTTTGTTTTTTAAAAAGATTTATTTATCTGTGCACAAGAACTGGGGTCTAGGCCACAGGTGCAGAGGGTGAGAGGATTCACCAGGTGCAGAGTGGAAAGCAGAACAGGCAGATCTACAGAAACACACTGCTGAGGGGAGCAGCAGGCGAGACAGGAGAGGTCTGCTGTGCTATGTGGGTCACTTCCCTGGCCAGGGATCGAACTCGTGCTGCAGATAGCTTCATAGTGCGGAAACTTAACCCCTTGTGCTACCAGGAGGCCCATTTTCCTGTTTTTGTTTTGTTTTGTTTTGTTTTTTTAAGAGCTGAAAATGATTTTTAAAATGTCGAGGGCACTCTCTATGTGTTGTATCGGGTCAGACATCCTGCATGCTAACATGGAGGACACAGAGTAGCGCTGCCTGCTTCCCTCCTGCGCTCCATGTCTGCAGACAGTGTCAGCTCCGCGTTATTTCAGCACCAGCTATAGAAGTGCTATGTCTGCTTTTGTTTTCCAACTGCCAACTTTGCTCATGAAGATAGAGGTTATTTTTTTTTCTTTGGTATTTGGCCAGTATGAATGTCCCTAGGGCATGATGGTAGTCATCCAACTATGCTCCATGGTTGATGGAAAAATACATTCTCTCCTGAATTTTTTGATAAATTATCAACAAAATAGGGAATCCAAAAATATCAAAGAGATTTATTACTTTTTTTCTTTGCCACCAACTGGCCAAATTCTAGTTCAAACTCCAAAGTTCATTAGGAATGGGTACTTTGAATGTCAAAGAAATCATGGAGGAAGATTTTGAATCATAATAGATCATAACAGCTGCCCAGTGAGGTAGTAAGAGCTTCTGCTCTGCTTTCTTGGCCTCAGCCTCGGCATTTGTGGCATTTCGAGAGGGGTAATTCTTTGTTGGGAGGGACTGGCCTGTGCATTGTAGGATATTTAGCAGCATCCCTGGCATCTACTCTTTAGGTGCTAGGTTGTGACAATCAGAAATGTGTCCAAGTTGTGACAATCAGAAATGTGTCCGGATATTGCCACATTTCCCTTGGGGGACAAATGTGCCCCTTAGTTCTGAACCACTGGCTTAACCCAAGGGTAATGAAAGATCTTGTTGAGGAAATCCCTTCTGGAATCCAGCAATCCTTTCATACAATCGATTCTACAGAATTCACTCTTAAAAAAATAATTTTAAAGATGAGATCAAACGATTCTTAAACATTACAGCTGTCTCTAAGTAGGCACTTCAGACAGCTCAAGAAAAAACATAATTTGAAAAAAAGTCCTTACAAATCTGACTCCACAGACCAGTCATCAGAACAGTGAATGGAATGAAGAAGCAAGCACTTGCTCTCTCTGCTCTGAGATGATCCTGCAGATCATGGATATTTTCAGCTTGATGAACCTACTGCTGAATGAAACTCGATAGTATCAATACCACTGATTATTGGAATAAGTTCTTCCTCAGTTTCTAAACTTGATGAAATTTCCTGTTATTGGTTCCTGGCAAGCAGCTCATCTTAGTGTTAATGGCAAATTCAGGTATTTTAAATTCTTTATTGTTTATAGATAACCTAGCCCTTTGCCAAATGATACCCATTTTCCCCAAGGGGACACAATACATTTGCTGCTTTAAAATTTTCCTGTTTTGACTCTATCTTCACATTTTTGCAATTCATCCTGCAAAAAAGACTGATTTGGAAACAAATGAGAAAAGCTGACCTGGTCAGGGCTTCGAGTTTACCTGAGTAGTGATCACAACTGCATGCTTGTGCTGTCCCTCTGTCACCCACCTGCAAATTGTCATTGTCTGTGCTTCTGAGTGAATTTACTTGTGAGTAGCCACGAGTTGGGCAGAAGAGATGGAATCAGGAAATCAGTCTTGAAACTTGAGACCAGCCACAATCCTCACGTCACCTAAATGTTCCTGTGAATTTGGAATTTAGTTGATGCACATGTCATTTTCTGAAGCTTCTCTTTTTAGGTGTTTTGTTTGGGACCTTTTTGTTGCCATGGAACTTTCTTGAGTATTGCTAGATGGACCCACTGCCAACTTTTGGTACAAAGCCAGGTCAGAGAGACTGAACCTGGCTAATGGAAATAATCCAGTTCTAATGGAAATAATCCAAGAAGGACAATGATTTTCAAGGCAAGTGACCCCTTTCTGGAGGTCTGAAATCATGTTACAGTATTGTGGAGTTTCGTTGCTTTAGTCTTCCTTCTGTCTTTACAGGCGATTTTGCCAAAGTATAGTTGCACATTTGGGAGAATTATTAAAACTAAGATATGAAGTTTGAATAACTCATCCCTCATTGCATGTGAAAGCCCACGATGTACATATGCATACCTTTAAGGTAAAAGATATTCAATGGTGCTGTAAATAAAAATTTTTAAAAAAATAAACACATGACTGAGCTATGTTTTGTGGGCATGAAACAGAAAACTCCAAATAACTAAACTTCTGTCTTTCTCACTTACTCTAGTCAGTTGATTCTTTAGTGACTCCTTGGTTGCTTTTAATCATTTGAAATTAATTCTGTCTGCTTTTGCTGTTATCTTCCACCCCTTCCTCTACCACCCTCAATGTCATGAAGTCCATCTTGGCAGAAATGTCAAATTGAACTCAGCTGCCTTACTTCCTGTAAACTGGGTTGATCTGGTTTTCTAGTGGGGACTCTTTGGCCCTGGGCTTGTGTTAGAGAGACACTCCTGAGCTTAGGGCCCATGGAAAGGCCAGGCTTATTTTGGAGGGGTCCCATAGTTCTGGGAGTCCCTGCTATGAGTTAACGGTCATCTTTATGAATATTGTATCAGGAGGACAGTCTCCAATTCTTTTGATTGCTTTTATCTATCACTTCAACGGTGAATCAGCATGTGCTTATTGTAAACCATGCACCAGTGATTCTTGCCTCTAAGGAGTACACAGTCTACTTGTAAAGCTAAGCCAGGCAGCACAACTTTGTGAGCATTTAAGGAGAGCCTGGGGTGGCTGG